TTCTTTTATTATTATTATTATTTTTCGTTCCTCTCCAGTACATTGTGCTGCTTTTTGTGCTGATTCTGCTGGAGATTTTCCTGTGGGACTCGGTGTACTTCGGCAATACCAGGGTAACTAAATGTTTGTACATGTTTTGCATTTGGAGAGAGAGGGGGAGGCAGAGTGACAGATGGAGGGCGAGAGAGAGTGGAGGAGGGAGAGAGGGGGAGAGAGTAGGGAAAAGATAGGGGGAGACCGAGAGAGGGAAAGAGGGAGAGCATGGGGGGAGATGAGATGGATCAATATATAGATAGATAAATAGGTAGGTAGATGGATTGATAGAGAGAGAGAGATGGATAGAGAGATAGGTACGTAGGTAGGTAGGTCGATAGATAAATAGATAGATAGTAGATAGATAGAGAGAAATCGAGAGAGATAGACAGACAGGCAGACAGACAGACAGACAGACAGACAGACAGACAGACAGACAGACATACAGACAGACAGATAGACAGACAGACAGACAGACAGACAGACAGACAGACAGACAGACAGACAAATTTGTTGGCCGTACCTGTGGTTGTACACGACTCTCTTTCGTCAATTTTTAAACTAGACTTTGGAGTGCCTCAAGGTTCAGTATTGGGTCCAATCTTGTATATGTTATATACACAGCCACTTGGAGCTGTGATCAGAAAGCACAATAGGAATTATCACATGCACGCAGACGATACACAGTTATATAAATCTGTTCCACCATCAGATGTTAAAACCTTGCTTACTACCATGGGCCTGAGCACTGATGACGTCAAAAAGTGGATGATTTATAATAAGCCCCAGCTTAATGAAAATACAACTGGAATTCTTTTATGTAACCCAAAGAAAAGCCATGTCACCGTAGACATTGATCATATTTGTACTGAAAATGAAAAAATGTATTTTACTGATATAGCAAAAAATTTGGGAGTGTATTTTGATTCAAAATTGTCAAAGGACCATCATATCAATTTTAATATACCATTTTATTTTGTGAATTGCGTAGAATTGGTCATATGTCTATGTTTTTGAATGAACACTAGTTGAAAACGCTCGTGTCATCTTTTTTGTTTTCACGCATCGATTATTGCAATGCTTTACTAGCCAACTTACCAAATACCACTCTTCACAAGTTACGTTTTCAAAATCATGCTGCTAGGCTTGTACTAAAGAAAAAGAAGAAGGACCACATTACTCCCATGTTAAGAACGTTGCATTGGCTTACCGTGTCAGCTAGAATGTCATATAAAATTGAAATATTATGTCATAAATGTGTCAATAACAAAGCTCCCTCATATTTTAGTGATCTCATCCAGATTTATGTTCCATCTAGATCTCTAAGATCGGGCGATTACTATCTTTTAAGAGTTCCTAGTAAAAGGGGTAAAAAAATTAGCTTAAAGATCGTTTGCCCACATTGCTCCATCAGTTTGGAACTCTCTTCCCCAACCTTTGAGCCATACAACATCTGAGTCTAAATTTAAAACATCTTTAAATACAGGTTTAATTACATTATTTTTATGTCAGCAGATTCATGTTCAGTTCAATGCTATGTAAATGACTATGTATCCATTTATGTATTTTGTGAATTGCATTGTGTATATTATTTTAATATATATATATATTTTTCGTGACGATGTGTAAGTGTGCGCGTGTGATAAACAAGCGTGTGTGTGAGTGTGTGTGAGTGTATGTGTGTGTGTATGTGTGTGTGTGTGTGTGTGTGTGTGTGTGTGTGTATGTGTGTGTGTATGTGTGTGTTTGGCGTACATGTGTGTGCACATGCGTGCATGTATTGTGTGCGTGAGTGTGTATGTGTGGGTGTTTGTGTGTGTGTAGGTGTGTATTTGTGTGTGTGTGCGTGTGTGTGTCGCGAGCGTGAATATTGTTCGTACATCATTTATGTAAAGCGCCTAGAGCTGGGTATACAAGGGAGTGGGCGCTATAGAAATGATATTCAGTATTACTATTATTATTATATAGATAGACAGATAGAGAGAGAAAAAACATAGACTATACCCAAGTAAC